AAGAAAAGCCCAAGTCTTGATAACTCTAACCAGTCATTCTTCCTGCTCCTATTTCCAGACGTAAGGGAACTAGGGAAAGACCAAAAACAAAGCAAAACTGATAATCTAATCGTTTTTAAAGGATACCTCAATTTATCCATGTTACTAATTGGCAGTCTTTCTGTTTGTGCCTCAAATTCCTAAGCATAATCTCCACTGAGATTCTTCTTTAAAATGCAATATACTTTTCTCACAAAATTCACCCTGTCAAATGCTTTACAATCTTAATTATTAACAAGTTCAATAGTTACTGCTTATGAGTTCAATGATTATTTTGCCAAATTGAAAAATACAAGGCTTCAGTTTTCATCTACCTCTCTTTTTTTTCCTTATTATTATTTTTTTACAGACATGGGGGGTCTCACTACATTGCCCCAGCTGGTCTCAAACTCCTGGGCTCAAGCGATCCTCCTGTCTTAGCCTCCCGCAATGCTGGGATTACAGGCATGAGCCACCACACACGGCCAACCTCTCTATCTTAACGTGACCTTGTCTCTGTATTTTTCTTGTTCCATTCCTCCCAATACTTCAGAAAATACAGTTGTTGTTCCTTTCCTCTAAAGACAACTGAGGATTCCATGTTATCCTGACTTTTCAGTGACCTTGTCCCTACACCTGTCATCTTCGGCAGAATCTTCCCTACTCCATCAGCTCTCTGATGCTGCTGCATTTGACAATAGTAATGTACTAAATTTTTATTGCATTATCTTTCTCTGAATACTCTCATGACATTGCCCTATTTCAAGTTCTCATTCCACATCTCAAATTGTGCTATGCTGCTTTTTCACTCCCTCACCCTTAATATTCTTCCCTTCCTCCCCTAATTTGATCTTTATTCCTCTGTTTTCTCTCTGTCTCCTGGAGAATGAGGTAGGGGAGGAGAGGGAGTGGGGAAATTGAGGCAGGATGGAGAGGATGTTTTTGCTGGCAATTTGTCACTCTCACATATTGGGATGGCAAAAAAAGTTGAGAACTATTGCTCACTACTCTCTGGAGAATTCATTTAGTCTCAGAACTACCATATTTACTCTAGGTAGTAATTCTCCAATTTGATTTTTCTCTATAATTTTATAGCCTCTTGCAGGTGGATCACCTGAGGTCAGGAGTTCAAGACCAGCCAGGCTAACATGGTGAAACCCTGTCCCTAATAAAAATACAAAATTAGCCGGTGTAGTGGCACACGCTTGTAGTCCCAGCTACTGGAGAGACTGAGACAGGAGAATCACTTGAACCCGGGAGGCAGAGGCTGTAGTGAGCCGAGATCCTGCCACTGCACTCCAGCCTGGGCAAGACAGAGTGAGTCTCTGTCTCAAAAAAAAAAAAAAAAAAAAAAAAAAAAAAAAAATCAGCCTCTTTCCTGAGACCCAGTCCATGCTTCTAACAGCATAATGAATATTTATATTTTTATCTCCCACTACTGGACATTTCCAACTAAACACAACCAAACTTTGGCATCAACTTCCCCATCTAAAACAATTCCCTTAATACCTTCCCTATCTTTTGAAAGATCCAACCAATCTCTGTTACTCAGGTTTGAAAAATGGTGTTACTGTCTTCACTTCTTATAGCCAGTCAGTGATGAAATCATCATTGGGAATGCTACCTTATCCTCATCAAAGAGAGGGTGCAAAGAACTCTAACCAAAGCGCTATCTGCATCAATTCTTCCTGCTACACTCACTACAATCTTACTTCTAGCCTAATATCAAAGTAAAAGACCACTTTCTTCATGTCATTTCTTTATCTAGCAATTTAGAATAGCTCCAATATCAGCTATATATAAAGTCTAAACACCTACCTCAATGGATCCTCTGAAATCTGACAACCACCTTCACACCCCATTTACTATTTTTCTCTACTAAAGCATTTCTCAACCTTTTTGTTCCCAGAGCCCTTTACAGTCTTAAAAATGATTGAGGACCCCCAATAACTTTCATCTATGTGGATATCTATCTCTATCCACCTTATTAGAAATTAAAATTGAGAAAAATTTAAAACACAAAGTACAGAGGCATACACTGCATTAACTGTCAGAGCAATGCCATTACATCATGTAGCCTGAAAAACTCCATAGACACTTGTGAGAGAATGAGAGTGAAAAAGGCAAATAACTTCTTAGTATTATTATAAAAATAGTTTTGACTTCTAGTACCCGGCTCACTTTGAAAATACTGCTCTACTTTGCTTCTCTTATCCATCTCTTTATCAATCACCAATGATTACTTATGACTGGTTTTTGTGTGCATCAACAGGCTGGAGGTAAAAAAAAAAAAAAAAAAAAAAACACTGATAACCACAGATTTACAAAATAATCTCCAAATTCATTAGCATGCTTGCTCATTCATAATGTGACAAAACCTATCAATTTTATTTCCTGCTATTACCACCATTTCCTTTACCTCCTATGCTGCACAATTCAACCCAGGCTGAAGGTCTCAAGTAGATGAAATCCTTTTCTGCTTCAGTATCTTTCAATACACTATTCTCTTTGCCCAGAAGGTCTTCTCTCACTCATCCTTTGGATCTAGTTCACAGGTTATCTCTTCTATGAAGTCTTCCCTTGATAATCCCCTCCCCAATTACCTTTTTCTCTGGGCTTCCATAGCATATTAGAGCTCCTCACATTGCACTGTAATTATTGTTTATATGTCTGTCATCCCACTAGATAGCTGCGTGAAAGTAGATTTGCATCATACTCATCTTTGCATTTCCTTTTTTTTCTTTTTTGGGGATGGGGTTTCGCTCTTGTTGCCCAGGCTGGAGTACAGTGGCTTGATCTCGGCTCACTGCAACCTCCAGCTCCTGAGTTCAAGCAATTCTCCTGCCTCGACTTCCCAAGTAGCTGGGATTACAGGTGCCCACCACCATGCCCGTCTAATTTTTTTGTATTTGTAGTAGAGATGGGGTTTCACCATGTTGGCCAGGGTGATCTCGAACTCCTGACCTTACGTGATCCACCCGCCTCGGCCTTCCGAAGTGCTAGGAGTACAGGTGTGAGCCACTGCGCCTGGCCTCATCTTTGCATTTCTAGTACCTCACACACAGTGGGAACCCAAATATTTGTTCACTTGAATCTGTCTGAATTGAATGAGTCAGTTTAATATGCATCTATCCCCAAATACTCCAGACCACAGTACTTGCCCTTTCCTCTGAATTTCTGCAGTACTGTATCAGAAAAAGGGCTAAAGGAAAGTAATAGCTATTCCTTCCTACAAAAAAGATTAGGGACTCTGGCCCATTAGAGCAAGTCTAACTCCCTAGTTGAGAGCCTCTATCAAGTGGCTCTTCTTTACCTTTTCAACCTGATTTTTCATTATTCTCCAACATTAACTTACCACCTCTGTCATTTAATAAACATATAAACACACAATATCCATTCTATTTTCATTCCTTTGGTTTATACTCTTCTCTCCCCTGGGAATTCCATTTCCCTGTTATTCTAAATTCTCTTCCTTAAAAGATCTGTTAAATTGCTCTAATAGTGGTGTCTTTGAAAAAAAGAAAAAAAAAGATTGGTTCAAGACCCATAAATCCCATGAAGCTTTCTAGGACTATGCCATACCAAATGAAAATGTCCCCTTTCCGAATATCAAATGCACTTCCACAGATTTACCACAATTTACCTACCACTTGTCTCATATAACTTACTATTTCTTGTTCTTAAACAGTTTCAAGTAAGTCAATGATGCCACCTCAAACAGCTTGACAGCCTTTTAAGGGCAGGTACTGTCTTCACTCAAAACATCTCAGTGCCATTACGCACCAGACAATGGCAAGGTTTCTAATTTTATTTCTTTCGTATCAGCCCTTGCTAGTGACAGGAAAATAAAGGCATGTTTGATAAACACTATTCCCTTTACGTGATTTTCTTCCTAACTGTTCAGAAGAATCCAGGTTATTTTTTTCTTTTCTTTTTCTTTTAATATAGGGTCTCACTATATTGCCCAAGCTGGTCTCAAACTTCTGGGTTCAAGCGATTGTCTTGTGTCAGCCTCCAGAGTAGCTGAGCTTACAGAGTAGCTGAGATTACAGGCGCACACCACCACACCCAGTTTGGGTTATTTTTTTTTTCTAGGAAACATTGCATCTATAAATATAATTACCAATTTGAAAATAAAATAGGTGCTGTGAGATGCATCTTCTTAGCACCCTAACACTGCAAGCTTAAATAAGACACTTCATTTTACAGGTAACTCTCTCTGAGTCCTCATCATACCTATTTTTAAGGGTCCTTCCTTTTTTTGCTCCTTCACCTTAGATATATCTTTTCCTATTTTAGTTTTTAAGAGTTTTAGCTCCTTTAACACATTCGGATGCATGGTTACTGGTAATAATGCCAAACCATTTGAGAGCCAAAGAAATGAGGCAAGTAAAAATCATGCATAAAATGAAAACAATCTTTGAAAACCAAGAAGTTATGGTAATTGGGTCTCAGACCAATGCTTTTCCTTAAATGGAATTTGTCTAAAGAGCCACATCTTTCCCATCACCATTCTCTTAAGTATCTACACACGAATGGGGCATTAGTTGGAAATCAGACTAAACATAACCATCAAAACTTAGTCCATGATATCACGGATTGATGGTAACTTCCGAAGATTACTTTCTCCAATTCTTCACTTTTTTGCATATGTGATAAAGTCGGCAAGAAAACATAGGAAATTATAGTTTAAAATAATCATAAGATTAAAGATACTCTAAGTCCTTCTTGTTTCTAAGTGTATCAACCACAATTGAACGTTGAAACAACACTACAAGAGAAAACGGAGGTTGGGGCAATTCTTTTCGATATATGTACAAGGGAATATTCTTTCAACATGGAAGTCTTGGAATGAATTTCATGTAAGAAGGGGACTGATGAATGAGGAAAGAAAGGAAGCCATCACTTGACATGCAGCAGCTCCCTCACCCCGTTTTCCTCCACCCCAAAAGCTGTAGGAAGTAGAAAGCTGCAGAATGTACCTTCCAGGCCAGGAGCAAAACATTGAGGATGGCCAGCAAGGGGCAGGGTCCGTTCTCATTCTGGGTGATGATGGGTGTGTTCTCTTCCTTCCACTGGATCCACTTGATGTGATACACAGACTGTCCCGGAAAGCGTTCCTTGGAGGCCGCCAGCACCTGAGCGGTCTCCTCCTCCTCCTCCTCCCCCTTGCACAGAGGAACAGCCCCGGGCAACACCGCCGCGCCCTCCTCCTCCTCAGGGACCCTGTTCTCCGCTCCCTCCTCACTATTGAACTCGCAGCTACTGGGAAAAGAATGCAGATTAGAGAACGACTCCAGAGAGTCCAGGCTCGGCGATTCCCCAGGAGGGGTCGGGTCGCTGCAACTGCTGCTGAGGCCGCCGGCGCTGCTGGGCTCTTCGGAGCCGGCGGCCGTCAGCTCTGCTTGGCAGGTGCCGGCGAGATCCGGGCGGTCTCCCGCGTCTCCGGCGGGACCCAACTCATGACCCACTCCGGCCACGGCTGTCTCCGGGGAGGCGGTCACCTTGTACTGCCCTCTCAGAGGCGCCTCAGCGGCAGCAGGACTCTCCAAACCACTATCCTTCAAGTCCAAACCCGGGGAGGAGCTGCAAGGTCTGGGAACCTCAGGAGAGCCCGCGGGAGAAGACGAGTCCGGGAGGCTCCTGCGGGCGGCCGCCGCCCCCAGCCCATTCCCGCCGCTGCTCTCCGCCGCCCATACCCCAGCACCATCACCAGCGGCAAGCCTGGTCTCCTGTAGCCCTTCCTGCGAAGAACCTGTCCCTGACGCTGGCCCGGCCGCCACCCCGTGTTCTAGCGGCTGCAGGCTCTCGGGGCTGCTCTCCATACCGGGCCGCCCGCCCCCAGCTCTATGGAGACCGCGGCCAGTTCTCCGCAGCCAGCGCCTCGGACGCCATGACAGCTGTATTGGCAGCAACAGCGCCCTGGCGCGGCCCCGGCCAGGCACGTCACCGGGGAGGGCACTAAGAACGCGCGCGCGCGCGCTACCGCGCTCTCCGTGCGCTCTGAGCTTGCCTCCGCTTGACTGCGCGCTGAGGGGCGAAGGCGAACCACTCAGCAGCCTCCCACGTGGCCCAGCCCCTTCCGCGTGCCCGCCCGAGCTCGCGCTCCGAAGGCCGGGCGTGGAGGGCGTGGCTAGGAGGGCGCGGCCGGGGGGCGCGCCCCCGCGGCTCAGCTCCAGTAGGAAAACATCCTCTCACTATGTGGCCGGAAGTTGAACTCCGGGGCAGCCCGCTTGTGTGCGGCTTCTTTAAAGGCAAGGCAGGCGGCGGACAGCTTGGTTGTAACCCTTTAGCGCTGGGTCGTGTGTGGCCCACCCTCGGGCTCAGGCATTGTGGAGTGGTTGGAGGTGGTTGTAGTATTTGGCAAAGAACTTGTCCCTGAAGGGCTCAGGAGACCTGTTTTCTCAGCTCCTAATATGGAAAATTGAAGGCATTTCTTACGAGATGCAGATTTTAAAGCGGGCATATCTACTCGAGGGCTTTGGATTACTGCACTGCACAAATTCCAGTATCTCTCGGTTTTGGCTGAGAAGAGCTGTGCTTCTCACCAGCTACTGGTGAGACACTCGCCCTACAGGCAGAGTCAGTATGGTTGTGGACATTGACCTGCGCAGCAAAAGAAAGTGGCTAATTTGCGCCAATAATAATAAATTAGCTTGTGTTTGAATTAGCTAAGTGTTTGCGGTTTTGCTAACTTGGCTTCACTTTGCATGAAGTGGGAAGTACCTGCTTCTGAAAAGGTGACTTTTTTCCTAATTAGAATAGACTCCTCTTAAGGCCATGCGGTTTTCAAAGAAAAAAGACAAGCTGGACGTTTTGTTAGTAACAAAATGTATGTAGGTCCTATTCTAACTTGTTCCAGAAAAGGGCTTTTCCCCCATTTTTTTCCTTTCAACATTTTCTGGGCTCTTAGGGATACAAAAATTAACAAGACAGGTCTTCCTTTGCAGACATATAAATACCTCTGTTGGTTAGAGAAGGCAGACAAAATTGCAAAGTAGTATTTGATTCATTCGTTTAATACATTTTAGTACCAAGTAAGTTGCTGGATACTGTCTGGAACTGGAGATGCCATAGTGGATCACAGAGCTTATATCTTCGTGGAGCTTACTGTTTTTTTTTTTTTTTTTGAGACGGAGTCTCGCTCCGTGGCCCAGGCTGGAGTGCAGTGGCGCCATCTCGGCTCACTGCAGGCTCCGCCTCCCGGATTCACGCCATTATCCTGCCTCAGCCTCCCGAGTAGCTGGGACTACAGGCGCCCGCCACCACGCCCGGCTAATTTTTTGTATTTTTAGTAGAGACAAGGTTTCACCGTGTTAGCCAGGATGGTCTCGATCTCCTGACGTCGTGATCCGCCCGTCTCGGCCTCCCAAAGTGCTGGGATTACAGGTGTGAGCTACTGCACCCAGCCAATGTTTGTTTGTTTGTTTGTTTGTTTCTTATTGCTGTATTTTTAATGCCTACTTAGATGGCTTTTTTTTTTTTTTTTTGAGACGGAGTCTCGCTGTGCCACCCAGGCTAGAGTGCAGCTCCGCCTCCCGGGTTCAAGCGATTCTCCTGCCTCAGCCTCCCAAGTGGCTGGGACTATAGGCGCCCGCCACCAGCTAATTTTTTCTATTTTTAGTAGAGATGGGGTTTCACCGTGTTAGCCAGGATGGTCTCGTGATCCGCCCGCCTCGGCCTCCCAAAGTGCTGGGATTACAGGCGTGAGCCACCACGCCCGGCCACACTTAATATGTATTACATATAATACATGCATGTTTACTGCTTATATTCTTGTTTACCTGAGAATGCAGAAGACTGTGCCTTTTTTTTTTCTTCTTCTTTTGAGACGGAGTCTGGCTTTGTCGCCCAGGCTAGAGTACAGTGGAGCGATCTTGGCTCATTGCAACCTCCACCTCCCAGGTTCAAGTGATTCTCCTGCCTCAGCTTGCCGAGTAGCTGGGACTACAGGGGCACACCACCATGCCTGGCTAATTTTTTTTTGTATTTTTAGTAGAGACGAGGTTTCACTAGCTTGGCCAGGCTGGTCTCGAACTCCTGACCTCGTGATACGCATTGACATGATACTATGATATATGTCTAACTGTGGGGTCCAGCCCTAGGGGGCTTAGCGGGTGTTCTCCCCGTGTGTGGAGACGAGAGATTGTAATAAATAAACACACAAGACAAAGAGATAAAGAGAAAACAGCTGGGCCTGGGGGACCACTACCATCAACATGCGGAGACCAGTAGTGGCCCCGAAGTGCTGGACTCGCTGATATTTATTGCATACAAGACAACTGGGCAGGGTAAGGAGGGTGAGTCTTCTAAGTGATTGACAAGAGAAGCAAGTCACGTGATTACAAGATAGGGGTAGCTGAAGCCTAGTGAGAAGGCAGCATACCTCAGCGTTTTCTTCTCTGCACTTATAAGAAAGATCAAAGACTTTAAGACTTTCACTATTTCTTCTACCGCCATCTACTTACGAACTTCAAAGAGGAACCAGGAGTATGGGAGGAGCATGAAAGTGGACAAGGGGCGTGACCATTGAAGCACAGCGCCACAGGGAGGGGTTTAGGCCTCCAGATGACTTCGGGCAGGCGTGGATGATATCCAGCCTTCCATAAAAAGCTGGTGGAGCAGAGTGGTCCCTGACTTCTCCAAGGAAAGGACACTTCCTTTTGCGGTCTGCTAAGTAACGAGTGCCTTCCCAGACACTGGCCTTAGCACTTGACCAAGGAGCCCTCAAGCGGCCCTTATGCGGGCATGACAGGAGGCTCACCTCTTGCCTTCTAGGTCACTTCTCACAATGTCCCTTCAGCACCTGACCTTACACCTGCTGGTTATTCCTGGGGTATATTAGTAATGCAACAAAGAGTAATATTAAAAGCTAATAGTCAATAATGTTTATAATAATGATTGATAATCGTCCGTAATCATCTCTGTATCTAATTTGTATTTTAACTATTCTTATTCTAACTGTTTTCTTTATTATACTGAAACAGTTTGTGCCTTCAGTCTCTTGCCTCGGCACCTAAGTAGTCCTCCGCCCACATCCAAATCTTGGACAACAGGAACATTATAAAAAATAATGGAGAGCTTTTTCAGAATGTTTAATTTAGGAGTTGTGTGTGCTTTTGATCTTCATGTCAATCCGTAAACAATAAATCTTGTTCTTAAATTTGAATTTGTTGCCTAAAATAGAATTGGAGATGTTAATAGATTAAAATATATGCTGCTGGTTTAAGCATTTTATGGTATTTTAGGCCATGAAATATAAATAAGAATAGTACAGATTTCAAGGCTGGGCGCACTGGCTCATGCCTGTAATCTCAACACTTTGGGAGGCTGAGGTGGGCAGATTACCTGAGGTCGGGAGTTCAAGACCAGCCTGACCAACATGGAGAAACCCCGTCCCTACTAAAAATACAAAATTAGCTGGGTGTGGTGGCACATGCCTGTAATCCCAGCTACTTGGGAAGCTGAGGCAGGAGAATCGCTTGAACCTGGGAGGCGAAGGTTGTGGTGAGCTGAGATTGCCCCATTGTGCTCTAGCCTGGGCAATAAGAGTGAAACTCCATCTTAAAAAAAAAAAAAAAAAGAATAATACAGATTTCAGGAAATTTAGAATTTAGCATGGTACCTCAAATGTAAAAAGGAAATCTATAAAGCTGTGTTATATGAATAAATTAAGTGAATGAATCATTTATAGGCCAGTGGGCCATAGGAGAGCCAAAAATCATGGCATACACTTCTCAAACAATGGCCTTTCACCATTTTTCAAAACCTTTACTTGGATAAACCTATACTTGCTGTGGTAGTTTTTCTTGGTATGTCTTTCAAATGCTCACATGGCATCATTTAATAATTTATTTGTAAGAAACAGAACCAGTTTTTATTTTCATGTGTTGTCAACAATTAAGACTAGATAAACAGCTGTGAAAATATAGGTAGTTATTTAAGTTCATGAAAATATACATTGTTATTTTTTAAGGGAGGTGAGGAGTGGCATCTAGGGAGAATACCAGAAGACAAACTGATATTTTATTCTTATTTTGCGTATATGTATCTTTAGGTAAACTCGGAGGTCAAATTGCCATTTTTAAGTTAAATAGTTACCATCCAAATTTAATTAAATTAATTTATTTAAGACAGGGTCTCACTCTGTCACCTAGGTGGGAGTGCAGTTGCACAATCATGACTCCCTGAAATCTCAACCTCCCAGGTTCAAGTGAGCCTCCTGCCTCAGTCTACTGAGTAGCTGGGACTACAGGTGTACACCACCATGCCCTGCTAGTTTTTACAATTTTTGTAGAATATGTTGCCCAGGCTGGTCTTGAACTTCTGAGTTCAAGCAATCCTCCCTCCTTGGTCTCCCAGAATGCTGTAATTATAGGCGTGAGCTAGTATGCCTGGCTACTATCCAAATTTTAAAAATTATTTTTCAAAGTATCAGATGTAATAGTCTTAAAAGTTAAATAATTTATATAAGAACAAAGCAGTTCCCTGTTCTGTCCTTCCAGACCCTTGAGTCCTGTTCTTTATAAACAGCCTCACAGTCTCTTTCAACTCATGATCATCAGTATGACTGATCATACTGCTAACTCTGTGGCTAAGTTAGTGGGAAGTGAAGAATTAAGCAAATAAAATAATGAGGCAACTGAGTAATTTTTGTTGTTTGTTCTTTTTTATTCTTTGAGATAACTGTTAATTCCAAGACAGACAAAAAGCTTAACACAAAAATAAATCACAGTAAAATACCTGACTTAGCAGTGAATACTTACGTAGCTCTAATGCTTTAATCTTTGAGTATGTAATCAAAAATTGTTTAATAACTCAAGATTGGAGCAATAGGAAGAGGAATGATATAA